GGGGTCAGGGTGCAAGAAGAATCAAAGAAAATCGATACGGTGGATCTTGGAATACAGAAAAAGAAGAACATTTATAAGAAGATCTATAATATCCAGATTGCATCTTCGCGGAGCGCCAAAGTAGAGTCCAGTGTTCGCTGTGCACTGTCCGTGAGGGAACAGAATAAGCCTGTCTCTGTTCTATCTTCTCAGCGTCCACGGAATCGTGATAAAATCAGAAGTTAGCTCTGTACACCAAAAAACGTCATGGCCGATCATTTCCATTTTTGTCCTTCCTTTCTTTTTCTTTGAATTTATATTATTGTTGTTGTTGTATCTGTTCATAACGTTTATATATTTTTGTCTTGAATTTCTCTGCTCATTTATTAGTTATTTATGTGGTGTTCCTTTTAAGGTGTTGTTGTGATCGCGGTCGGTTGAGGCAGAGAAGGAGTAGATCAGAACAAATGACAAGGAATGAAGAAACTCTCTCTCTCTCTCTCTCTCTCTCTCTCTCTCTCTCTCTCTCTCTCTCTCTCAGATAAGCTCGCTCATAATTTTAATACAGAATGGCGTAACAAATAACGCAACAACACACTAAACTTGCGAGCACGATGGAAGAAGGAAGAGGCAGCCAGCCAGCCAGCCCCGGGGGCGGCGGCAATGCTCAGTGCTCAGTGAATGCTCAATGCCAGGACAGCGGCCAAAACTTACAAGTTGACGAAGAGCCAGGTCATATGCCGAGCTTCTCCCGCTGTCTGCATGGCGAGTTCTCGAGTTCACAACGAACGCCCCCAGACTTTCCCTCTCTCACGAATTAGATCTAGCAGGCCCTCCTCCTGGCCTGGGCCCAGCACAACAGACGCACATGCACGCACTCCCACGTCGCGGATTCACAACCACCCTCTTCTCTTCCTCTTGATTTGAAAGGAATCCGAGGGACACAGCTGAGTTCCAAGCATGTATTAAAATATTAGCTTCTAAAGCGATTTTTCGGGGTAGGTAAGCATTTGCCGTCTGAAGACCTTTAGCTGTGTTCAATCTGCGTACATAACGCGTTTATTATCTTAAATAATTAATAAAGACAAGGTATCACTATTTTTAAAGTGTTAGCCAGGCACTTCCACAGTACTAAAAAAAAGCATCTTTGAATATGATCAGGAATTTGAAACAATTTGCCCCAACGGAATAAAGCTCAAGCGAAAATAGAAATGCATTACTAGATCTATATCCCCATAAATATTTTAAAAATGTAGGTGTTTTTACACCCCCGTCGACACAGTTTAGATCATTTGGGAGGTGGGCTTCCGACCTTGCCTAACAGGACCGGGCTGAGAAGGATACACAATATTCCAGCAGAATCATCGAGATACTCCATAAAAATTTATCTTCGGTTCGGAATCAAAACCCGGGTCTCCTGCGTGCAACAGCGAAACAACTAACCGCTACACCATAGACGACGGTATTACTTTATCAACAACACATTGCATGAATTTCTAACCAAATATCTCACTGCCTTAACGGGTTTGGTCAAAGAGAAATGCCCCTTCAAAACTGAATACAAAGAAAGGAAATTTGAAGGAGGTTAACACGATAGGCCTGCAGGGAGAAAAATGAAAATCGCAACACCCCCTTTGGATTTCTGAGAAAACGAAACGCTCCTTAATACTGATGAATGGCTAAAAACGAGCGAGCACGCGCGTGAGAACAACAATAAGGCGAGGCTAGGCGTCAAGGCCACCAACTTCAGAATGTAAGCACGACGCACAACAACACACATTTCGCAATGATGCATAGCATCCCCGCAGTCATATCTACACAGCAGCAGCTCCCAGTATGAAGGCAACTCTGTGGGCACAACACACATACACACCACACACACGAAATGCCTGCCTGCTGAGTGAGCCGAATACAAGAGAAGAAATCTACACAGACCACTGACCAGCTCGGCGACTTCCTCTCCCCCCTTAGTCCCGTCAGTCAGTCAGTCCACTCACAGGCGCGTGCACGAGCCGAGGCCTACATCTATCACACCCCTGACCTCTGAACCCTCCTCCACCTTTTCATCTCTCATCTACCTGGCGCGCGTGCTGCTGGCTGTGGAGCGCAAGAACAGCAGGGCGTACGTCTATGGGGTGTTGTTCTACACCAGGTGATATAGGAGGTGTGA